TTACGCCAATACTCCAGCTGTTGGTTTGATCATATGCCATATACTGAAAGCAATTGTAATCTATCAGATGGGAAGAGTGAGACAAGATATCGTAACTGTGAGCCAGATATCCAGAGATATACTATGGCCAAATTGGACTAGCAACTTTTGGTGGGCTGAGGAAAAGTTATATATCACTGTCATCTGGAAAAGAAATGTTGCCTTTTTATTAACTGTCTGAAATGGAGAAAAAAAGATAGATGCTGTAAAAATCTTAATGGATCCAAATCAATAACTTACTTTATAAAAATAGCGAACTCAGTGTCGATATAGCAACACTTGAACCAGTGGTAATGCAGGCATGGTGAAGAATTCCAAATGGTTTTTTCCCCCCAAATGGCAAACAGACAACAAGATGATGAATAATAATCAATATTAATAAAAAAATCTTGCACATTTGGGAATATATCTACAGTACTGGACATCTCACTGAAAAGAGGTGCACTTTTCTGCACCAGTTCGAAAGCGGCTCTAGACTTCTGGACAGCACAACTGACAAAATGTCCAAGAGCTAAGCTAATGTATTAGACATTCGCAGTAAAACTTTCGGTTTTCTTTTGCAATGTTTGAAATGCTGAGCTTGTGGATAGACTGGTTTCCCAATTGATAGGAACTCTTATTTAATACTATGCTGCCATGAGTCCTTGGAGAGCATGGTGGGATTCAGCCAGTTTGCACCACTTCTGCAGAACCGGGAGCTAATTTTTTGTTGCACAGGCCCATAATGGACTTCCGGAAGCAGCATCCACACAGAGAACCAGTTGTTCACATATTTGAATTCCACCACTGTTGGAGAGTATGGTGGAATAAAAATATAGCAGTAAATAAATATATGAACTCTTGCCTTGCTGTGCCTCCAGAACTGAGAGCAACCATTACTTTCTCTTCCACTGTCTCAACTTCAAAACGCAGTTGAAAAAATGTCAAACCAACAGCCTGTACTTTGCAGTTTGCTCTTCTCCTCTGGGATACAGCCGGAGGAAATAGGGAGAACTCTTATTGATTTCATATCTTCTTATTAGCCCAGTCAACTGTGTACCTTTGCAGAATTGCAAGGTTCTGCAAACAGTTTGAAAAAAATTGCAGCTGTAATAAGTGAATATTATTAAAAACAGTGTAAAAATGTGGGGGAAATGCCAACAAAACTATCCTTTTACTTGCAAAGCCCCCAGTTGCTTTTAAATAAAAAAAAACAACCGAATGGTTGAATAGGTCTTAAATTTAATTTATAAATAACCAGATAATTGATTGGATGCAATATGTACTTAAAAAATGGATGGGGAATCACTAATAATTTATTTGCTTTTTAAAATATGTAACAAGGATTAGGACATTTTTATTACTTTTAGAGCTGAGGGGACAGTTGAATAATGTTGCTCTGCATTCTTTTAAGGTCCCAAGGGGTAACTGGAAGGATTGTTGTTTGGCTGACGGTGTTCATTGCCTCTTCCTAGGTTTTTTAGGTCAGCAGGACTGAAAAGAATTGCAGATCTCTTTTATATTGCTTTGGAAGATTTGTGAAGTGAAATTGATGGCAGTCTATCAGAGTAATTATTTTTTTAATAGTAAATTTCCTGTTAGGAGAAGATTGACCATATTATAATCTTGACAGACTTGAACATTGGGTGCTATCTAATAAAATGAAATGAAATTCAATGGTGAAAAACGTAAGGTTCTACATTTAGGCAAGAAAAACCAAATGCACAGTTATAGCATAGGTGATACCTTGCTCAATAGTAGTAACTGTGAGAGGGATCTCGGAGTCCTAGGACCCAGTGGACAATCACTTAAATAGGAGCCAACAGTGTGCTGCCACTGCCAAAAAAAGTCAACACAGTGCTAGGCTGCATTAACAGAAGGATAGAATCAAGATCACGTGAAGTGTTAATACCGCTTTACAACGCCTTGGTAAGGCCACACTTGGAATACTGCATCCAGTTTTGGTCACCATGATGTAAAAAAGATGTTGAGACTCTAGAAAGAGTACAGAGAACAGCAACAAAGATGATTAGGGGACTGGAGGCTAAACCATAAAAGGAACGGTTGCTGGAATTGGGTGTGTCTAGTTTAATGAAGAGAAGGACGAGGGGTGACATAATAGCAGTGTTCCAATATCTCAGGGGTTGCCACAAAGAAGAGGGAGTCAGGCTATTTTCCAAAGCACCTGAAGGCAGGACAAGAAGCAATGGACAGAAACTAATCAAAGAGAGAAGCAACCTGGAACTAAGGAGAAACTTCCTGACAGTTAGAACAATTAATCAGTGGAACAACCTGCCTCCAGAAGTTGTGAATGTTCCAACACTGGAAGTTTTTGACCTCCAAGGTCCCTTCCAACTTTATTATTATTGTTGTTATTGTTATTGTTATTATTGTTATTGTTATTATTGGAGGAATTTACAGTGGAACGTATTTATCTGTGAATATCAAGATGATTCTTTGTTCCCCTTACATGAAAAAGCTTTTTTGGTAGATTTGCATGTTGGGTTCTGCATTTTATCCCAATATGATTCTCTTGAAATGTTCAATCATGCTTAATTACCAAGTCATTAAATTAATAAGCCGCCTTTCCCTCAGCAGTTCTAGGGGCATAGATAGGCCTTCCTCAACTTATTTTGGATTGAATAATGTAGTGGAACATCAAGACTGTCTCTATTGTTTCATGGTCTTCACAGATGAAATAGCAGATTAAAGCAATAAACGTGCCTTTTCTGCATTCATTTAGTAATTAAGGATTACAATTTGGTGTCAAATTTTGGAAAGGCTTAGTGAAATACATTGAGTAATTAATGAGAGGCAAGTATTGGGCAAAAACCTTGCCATGAATTTGATATGAAAATGTATTTACAATCACTGGCATTATCTCTTTATGTTACTTCTGGTGAAAAACATAATACCTGTTAAAAAGGTCTGGAATATGATTTTTGTTTTGAATTTGTATTGGTAATTTCACATGGTTTGTGAATTATAAGAGAACACCATCAGCCATTATGTGCAGTGATTTTTTTTAAAAATTATTATGTATTAGTACTCTTTTCTAAGGATTTTTCACCGTGGGGAGGGCCATCCATAAGTGGTAAGAGAAAGTCAATGAGGCAATTATGACTATAAAGCTGCACTTTTTTTAACACAAATGTGTATGAGTGGGACGTCAGTTGTGTGGTCTCATATTGACTTTTTTCCCCACATAATTTCCCAGAAGTGCCTCTGAAAGTGGGAAATATACTTTGCTGTACTGTATATGACCAACTATAGGTCAAAACCAAGAATAAAGTATTAAGAAAATGTTAACTTCTGAGATTTTGTTGCTGCTTTATAAATGTTATCAATGAATGTTCTTTTTCAGGCATAGTAGGGTATGACATAGGTTAACACATTTACATGGAGTTGTTGCGTTCTAGGAAGATTCACATTGTTTAGTACAAGTCAGCCGATGTCCCTGGTATAATCTGATAGCTGTATATTTCAATTTCCATTACTTAATAGTAAGAAAAGCTTCAGTCCCTGATCTGATGAGACTCAGGCTCTGTCAAATTCCAGCCGTCTTTAACAGCTCAGCTGAGTTAAAAAAAATTACTGCTGCAAGTAAAATATTTCGTGATGCACTTTAATCTATTTAGCCAGTTGAAGAAGGTTTGTTGTTGTTTTATTTGAATCAAATCTATACTATTATAAAATGTTCAGGTGAATGCTAGTACATATTTTGGGGATTCACCATCCATTGTCACAAGAGTTGCAGTATAGTAGGTAGACCTGGATAGGAAGTTATGGTCTTATAATCAGAAGAAATAAGTCTAAAACTATTACTTTATTCAGGTCTTCCTGAACTGTTATTTTATCCAGGTCTTCCAAAGGGTAACAGTGTGGTAACCATTTATAGCAGGGCTTTTCAACCTTTTCACCCATTGTACCACTTTTAGGATATGGCAATATCCGAGTACCACCAGTCGCCTAGCAAGGTGTCAAAAACTTGATGACCAAAAAAAAAAAAGGAAAAAAGTGATAAAGTACAGGTAGTCCTCGACTTACAACAGCTTAGTGACTGTTCGAAGTTACAATGGCACTGAAAAAAGTGCCCCTCAAGCCACAGCCGAGCAAGACACCTGCCTGCCCACCCAGAAGCGCTCTTCCTCCTGTCCGAGGTTTTCATTGTTGTGAGCATTTCTGTTGAGGATTGGCAGCAGGGTTGGGGTGGGGGGCTGTTTGGTTTTTATGCCCCCCTGTCTGCTGGGTGGTTGCAGCAGGTTTTGGTCACTTCACATGACCCTGGGACACTGTGACCGTCATAAATATGAATCAGTTGTCAAGCATCTGAATGTAAATCACAAGTCCCTGGAGATGCTGCAACATTCCAGCTGATTGGCGCTTCTTCTGGGCTCAGCAGAAGTGCCAGGATCAGTGCTGCTTTCCAGCTGATTGGTGCTTCTTCAGGGCTCAGCAGAAGCACCAGGATCAGTACTGATCTCCAGCTGAAGCCTGGCGCTGATCCTGGCGCTTCCACTGAGCCCTGATAGCCCTGAAGAAGCGCCGATCAGCTGGAAAGCAGCACTGATCCTGGCGCTTCCGCTGAGCCCTGACAGCCCTGCAGCTCCAGCCATCTCTCACTCAGGCTTGTGCGGTGCTGCCACCCGTTCAGCTCATTCCCCTCCCCCGCTACCACTTTTCTAGGATGGTTGCGTACCCCAGGTGCCAGGTGCCAATGTACCACAGGTGGTACCCGTACCACTGGTTGAAAAGCCCTGATTTATAGCACTGGAAAACAAGCTATTGCAGTCATACTTTCACTTATCACCAGTTTACATTGTAGGTATTTTAAAATTGCACATGGAAGGTTTATTTAGTGCTGAATCAATGTATTAAAAACTTAATAGTGAATTTCAGGGGAAATTGTTCAGCAAATTCTAAACCAGAAGGTGCTATAGGTGCATTTAAGATTGATAGCTTTTTTCCTACTGATTTTATAGGTCATAATGACTACATGTGCCCTGCTACCAACCAGTGCACCATTGACAAGAACAGAAGGAAAAGCTGCCAGGCGTGTAGGCTCCGAAAATGCTATGAAGTTGGAATGATGAAAGGTGGTATGTATGACACTATAAATCTTAATTTGCATTACAAATATTTTTCATCCTCTGTAATCTCATATATGACTAACTTTTCAGTAATTAATCCCATTGCATCTTGTAGTATTTACCGTCAGGTAGATTGGTGTTTGGTTACAGTTCAATTAACTTTTATCTTCAGTGCATAATGCCTAGTTTTGAAGTTGTTACACAATCTCACTTTTAAAGGAAAGTAATATATAGTTGTGGATAACTTAAGAATTTTAGATGCCAAAATACATTCCCCCCCCAAATTGAGTTCAACGTACAGGTAGTCTTTGACTTATAACAGTTCATTTAGTGACTGTTTGAAGTTACGACGGCACTGGAAAAATGACTTATGACCGTTTTTCAAACTTACGACCATTGCAGCATCCACATGGTCACGTGATCAAAACTCAGATGCTTGGCAACCGACTCGTACTTATGACGATTGCAGTGACCCCGAGGTCATGTGATCACCTTTTGTGACCTTCTGTCAAGCACAGTCAGTGGAGAAGCCAGATTCATTTAACAACCATATTACTAACTTAACAACTATAGTGATTCCCTTAACAACTGTGGCAAGAAGTCATAAAATGGGGTAAGCCTCACTTAACAAATGTCTTGCTTAGCAATAGAAATTTGGTGCTCCATTGTGATCGTAAGTTAAGGACTACCTGTATCTGTGAACATACACAGTAGTGTTTTTAAAAAGTACCAATATATCTTCATGTACATGCCCATATGCAGATAAGCCCACCCAAAATAATAATATTAACCAAAATACTGTGAAAAATACAGGCTGTCTTATCTGTGAGTGGTACATTTGTAATGGTAGTTTTGTTAACATTTGAGGTCCAGCTTATTCATAGATGGGATTCTATATAAGTATATATTGTAAAGCTTCCCTCCTTTCCCTCCCCCTCAAAATAAATTCTGGATCTATGTTAATTGATGTTAGGTTTTCTGCCACTCTGTAACATCTAAATACAAATTGTGAATGGGGCTGATGATCCTCATCTGCCTTTAAATGGACAAGTGCTTTTGATTAAATGTTTTTTCAATAAATGCTGTGAAAATGAATATGACTTAAGACCAAATCACATATCCTTTTAGGTTTTGATGATGAAATGTTGCACACATGATAAATAATGATTTCCCTTAACTGAAAATACAATTTCTGTAATGGAAAAATAAACATGACTGATAATTGCCTAGATGTAAAATGTCTATTATTAACTCATAGGTTAGTGTTTACAAATAATCATTTAACTGGTGCTTCTTATAAACTTTGGTTAAAAAGAGAAAATATTCCTTAGATCTCATTATCTTTTCTAGTACATTTTCCAGTATTCATTTTAAAGGCTATGTCACATGTCAGCCTATTGGAGAACTAAACTCATAATTTATTTGCATTTTGTTACTGAGGATCATAATCTTAATCTTACCCAAGCAGAACAAAATTTAAGCATTGTTACTAAAAGCAGTCTTTTAGAAGTGATTCATTTATTAGTTAATTAATTAAATGTATGTTTTTTTAAAAAAAATATTACTATTAGTCCATACTGAAGAAGTTTGCAGAGATTAATTATTTTAGAGAAACATCTACATTCACATGTAACTCAGTGAAAATATTTTAAATTGAAATAATTAGCTATTGATTCACAGTGATTGTCTTTAAAGATGGACATTTATTCCCTATTGAAAACAGTTCTTTAAAAGTTTATCTCTACCCTTTCCCTGTTTTCTGTCATTGTATGATGAGATTATATTGAATGACAAATAAAACAAGGGAAACAGATGTTTTTCCCCCAGAAACACAGATGCATTTATTTTAGTGCATCATCTGAACAGATTCCAAGAATTCTAATTTGGCATTCAATTATTTTGTGCTGTAGTGTTACAGTATACTTAAACTAGTAAAAGAGAAAAGTGCAGAAAACTATTTGTATTGCTCTGAATTGATTCTCTATAATGTCTATGAAATAAATCTGTTCAAATGCAAACTTGTACAGGTGAAGGGCATCATTACACTTATTAATACTTATGTATTTGCAGAACCAGTTAGTTGAAATATCATTGTCAAAATAAATGTTCCTTCAAAAGACTGTTCATCCTCTGCATACACACAGTATGCTTGTTATTTAAATGTTCTTCACAGTGAAAATCTATGATTATGTCAGCTGTTAACTTTTCTATGTGTAAAGCAGACATGTCAAACTTGCAACGTCACGTGACGTCGTGCAACGTATCGGAACTTTTTCGCCGTTGCCGGCAATGGAATGGGCGCGGCTCTGGTATGATGAAACCGGCCCGTGGGCCGGCAGTTTGACACCCCTGGTGTAAAGGATATACTAAATGCAGAAGTGATTTTGCAGAGCTGTTTACTCTAAATATGCTACTGGCTAATCAAGTACATATGCATTTTTTGCTTGTGTGTTTATAAATGTGCTTTTCTCTGACCAAAGTCCCTGTGAATGTAATTTGGCTATGAGATTAAATGAATGATGAATAGGGAGGTAAAGTTTAGAATAGAAACCTTTGTATCTCTTAAACAAAAGGTCACATGTAAAATTAAAACAAATATCTCTTAAGCTAACTTAGTTTCTTCTGAAATAAGGGGAATCTTCTCTCAAGCAAAGCAAATGTTGCCTATCTCTAAATCTTTGGACACTTGTAAGAAGGCTTCCTGGCTTCATGCATGCCCTGAGTTTCATCTTCCTCTTCAGATAAGGAGATGTCAAAGGATAAAAAAAAAATGGGATTCCTATCTTGATCAAAGGTTCAGAGTTATATTGGATCCTGCATCAGAGGTCTTCAAAATTGTCCCTTTTATGACTTGTGGACTTCAACTCCCAGAATTCCTCAGCCAGGTATGCTGGCTAAGGAAATCTGGGAGTTGAAGTCCACAAGTCATAAAGGGGCCAACTTTGAAGAACCCTGCTCTGCATAATCGCATGAATCTGTATCTTTAATATCTTATCTTGATCTCTAAGATCCATCACTTCCAAGAGGAGGAACAGAGGGCTGAATGGCAGAGAAACCACAGATTGTAGGGTTGTGCTTGGTGGGAGAGATTGCTAGTTTGGAAGTCAGAATTGTGGTGGGCACCAATGGGTCTGAAGAAGACTACTAACGGGAACTTCATTCATTCTAAATATTTGTATACTACTTCCTTTAGAAAACTTGAGAACAGGTTTGTAATAACATCCAAATAATTCAAATAGAAAGTAAAGCAGTTGATTAGAGCATATTGTATACAATATCCAGAATAAAATAAACAACAAAATATACAGTAAGACAATAATAAGGGGAAAAACAGCAGTCAAAATAAAACCCCCACAGCATTAGCAAATTATTAAAATGTCTGGGGAAAAATAAACATATATCTTTACTTGGCACAAAAGAGACAATAAAGATAATCCCAAGTGTGCCTCGATTGGGATGGCTTTCCTAAGACATTGGCCTATCTATCACAAGTCTCCCTCTTGGTAGCTATTTGCTGCACTTTAGCATGTGAGGTACCCAGCGTAGGCCCTTTGGTGAGGTTTGTTGTGAACAGGTGGGAGCATATAGGACAGGGGTCCTCAACCTTGGCAACTTTAAGACTTGTGGACTTCAACTCCCAGAATTCCTCAGCCAGCTTTGCTGACTGAGGAATTCTGGGAGTTGAAGTCCACAAGTCTTAAAGTTGCCAAGGTTGAGGACCCCTGATATAGGAAGAGGCATTCCTTCAGCTCTTTTACATACTGTATCCCTTGTCTTGACCAAATCACACTTATACCCTGATATTTTTCAGAAATAGAACTGCTTTTCTTGATTTCTAAGCAAAAAACTTGTTTTGGAACAAGTATTTATTGAGTGATTTACTATTTTTTTTTCATCTTGGTGAGGATGAGGTGTGGCCACTCTTCACATACAGGGTCTAGCAAACTTCTTCCACAGATGTTGAATAAAGGGGTTGCAAAATGGCAACTTGATCATCTTTTGAGCTCATGATAAACCATTGTGTTCCTAAGTTTTGTTCTGAACATACAGTAAGGCATTGTTCTGTCCTTGGAACAAATCAACTGTATTTAATGTTCTGGGTGTTTATAGGGAGCCACAGAGATGACCTTGGAGAAACTATTTAGAGATAGTCACAACCTGTGCAAAAACGTACATCGAGTCTAGGAAACAGAAAAGAAGAGACTCACAATGACTCTTTGAAGGGAAGGGAAGGGAAGGGAAGAGCTTGCAAGATTCTGAAGCCTAAGTTAATACAGTGTAGTTCTAGTTTTCCTGGGCAGCCAGTTTCCTGATCTGGTCTACCTCAAAGAGTTAATTTTGTTCCAAGTGCTGTGATTGGTAACTCCCCCTCCCCCCCCAAAAAAAATCTAAGAATAGCCAACAGGGACCAGTTTCATTCCTACAACTATTGGCTGAGATTGGACAAAGTGATCAGGATGGCATACACAATCATAATTCTAATCACAGCCTTAGGAGTTTCCTATATGTTTTACTTCACATGAAGCAGAGAATCAAATGGTTTACCTATCCCAATGGTTGTTTGGGATATTGTTTGGATATTATTCTCTGCGGTCAACTATATAACCATCTTTTTTGAATTTTCTCAGAAAATCTTCTGAGCACTGCTGCAGAACATTGAAGGGAAGTGTGAAATGCCAGTCTTCTGGCAATTTCCACACTGTTCTGCAAGTAGGTACAATAACAGATGCTTGCTTTTACTGGATTACAAGAAAAATGCTATGGAAAGTAACTAACAGCTGATAGGAAATACACCTGAATTTGTATGTTAATGCTTCCTGTGATAGATACGTGGCATAATATTAAACAATTAGAATTGTTTTTAAATTATTCTGAGAAATGGCCTGAACTCTTATATCCTGCTGAATGAATCCCTCTTCATTTTGAACGTATCTGTGATTTAACATTTATCCTAGCATTTTCATGCCAATATACCGTAGTTCTCTGTCAACTCAAGCATGGATGAACAG